CCCTCCTCCCCCACTTGTTGGGAGCTAATTTCTCCTTGTCTTCATCCGTGTCCTTGTTCTTGTCCCTGAACTCGTCTTGAGTCTTGACGATCGTCATCGTGTTCAATTTTATACTTAACAGCCTATGAAAATATGTAACTACTAAATGTATTAATTTATTGTATTTTCGACCGCTCTTGGGTGTTGGAGCATTAACACATGTACACAGTCACAGAGGTGGCGGAGCGACTTTCAAAGTGGGGGGGGGGGGGGCACCAACAAATAAGGGCACTTTCTGGAAAAGGGGCACCTTTAAAGGGAAATCTCAAAGCGAAATAGACAAGTTTTTAGATATTGGTATATACCCATATATTATGATTACATTATCAGGGATGATTTCAATATTTGTTTCTCTTTATACATCATATAAGATATAGCTTAAGCATCATACTTTACAGTTGGGTGTGAGGGTCTGAAAATTCATTTGCGAGTGAGGAAAACATTTAAGATTTGTGAGGTCGCAGTGCGGAAAATTAAATCTTATAAAGAGGAAAAACCCAATCCTGATGGGGTTATAAGCACTTTCTCATAACGGAAGAATGAAAAGACCTTTGATTAGTAACACTACATGTGAGCGAGCGTAGCGAGCGTGCTTTGGGGAAAATTTCTCTTAGTCGCTTGAGGCACGTTTAATGAAGAGAGGAAAAGGGAACACTTATCGAAAAGGATAAGACACTTATTAGAAAAGAAAAGGAGCACGTGTCAAAGTACAAAGGCTAATTATCAGAGGTTAAAATGGGGCACTTCTTACACCTAAAAAAAGAGGCACTCACCAGGGATGAAAAAGGCACTTATGACAATGGGAAATGGGCTTTTGTCGACGGAAAAAGGCACCCATCAGATTTTAAAAGGGTTATTTATAAGAAGTGAGAAGGGGAAGTGACTCTTAATAAAAAGAAAAAGAGGCACATGTTAAATTAAACCTCCTGCCTACAGAGACCACATTTTTTGTTTTTCTTGAAAAAATGGTTTCTCATTGAAACATATACTGAAGGAACCTGTATATAAAGACCACCTGCTTGCAGAGACCACTTTTCTTGTCTGTATAGACAGGTTTCACTGTATTACTATTTTTCGATAATCAGAATAACTGTGGTATGAAGCCTTCTGTCTCAATTATTACTGCAAGAAGAAATGAGATGAGCTGCGATGGACAAAAGGGTTTTCTTTTGTCGGAATTCTTGAACTCTTTCCTTTAGGAGAAGTATTACACTAATTACTTCATCGGATCTTGATCTTCAAATAGAGAGCATCACGCTTTAGTATGTGAAAATACATGCCATAATTGGTCATCTAAAAAGAACCCAGATGCCAAAAAATGAAGAAAGACTAAATGAAATCGAAATTTTAGCATGTTTGGTTCAATTTATTATTAACATCTTAATTCACTTCTGTTTGGCATTAGCAGTTGATAAAATAAATTTTCAATCATTGTTAACCATTTTATTGTACGCAGGTGCTGGTGTGGGAGGATTATTTCTATTAATAACTATCATCGTAGTCATCGTCGTTTTCGTCAAGTACAAACGGAGGTATGGTTTTGAAGGCGAAGAGAAAATTGTCTAAATAAGTTACAATGAGTACATTGTCCAAAGTAAAATCGAAGAAATATGTTTTAGCCAACAGGGAAGTCACATGACCCTGGGGAGGGGTGAAATATTTCGTGGAATGAGTTTGTATTGTTCAATAATGTGTTAATATTATGTACGCGCGCGCGCACACACAAACACACGCACACACACCCACGTGCATACAAATAAACACATGTCCCCTGATACTTGTCTAGACCATACTCTGAGGATATATAAAAATGCTTATCACGTTGTTCTTGCTTGTTTCCTCTATTTTTATAGACATGATAGGAGGGGTCATGTTGAATATTGTGTATAAGATCATATCAAAGCAGATAATTCATGTTGACCTGTTAAACATTCTTTATTTTATCTGGTTTCCCGATAGAAAGGTGAAAAGGAAAGCGCCTGCTTCTGTACAACAAATGGCATCCATGGACGTCGAAGATAAGAAGAAAAATGAATACCATTCCCAAAAAGACGCTCCAATACCAGATCCTGCAGCTCTGTATGCAATTTCAGACCTTTCAGCTAACAGCTCCTCAAACAAGTTTCGAACCGATGCATCGCCGGACCTTTCTTTGCTTTACGCCTTGCCATACGAACACACTGCCATGAACGCGGCCGATGTGGGGGCGCTGTATGCGGTGTCAAATATGAAAAAAGCTAATCACGTGACGAGCGATGGCGTCGGAATGCATGCGCCACTAGAAGCATATGACATTAATGCGGATGCTGATGAGGACAATACTGTGATGATAGAAAACGAGATTTATAATTGTTAGTAATTCAGTTCATTAGCAAATGCTTCTATAGGACCCAAATTGTACGTATCTTTCAGTTTAATCTTTTACGAAATGTACCAAATCCTTGTTCTCCAAAATTTGCAAACTACAAACTACCAAAATAATAAACAATTAATTGAATATTAGTAGACTGATGACTTCAGCACTTGGCCAACTATCATCTGTTTTTATCATTAAAACTACTTTTGTTTCAGGGCCTTCCAAGATTCTGGTTTATTTTGTTTTGCTTTCATTAGCATAATCAAGATTTATATAAAATGTTATATTAACTGCATGTGTGGTAATAACGACTCTTTTCGTTAATATAAAAATACAATAAGGAAAGGGTTGATTGTTTTATAAAGGTGCAATAATCTGTTACATTGTGTTTATGGTAAATGATATGAGTACGCATGTCATAGAAGGTTCCCGGCAAAGGATAATTCCTCAAATGCCCGATTTTCGAAATATGATAAAAAATAGTTGAAGCGTGTACGGCTTACATTCATGGTACATTTGCGTGTACCCATACCCATCTCTGTGTGCCGTGCATCTTATCTTCAGTATTAAAGCCTAGTTAAAGGTACTATGTCCCTTTTGCAGCCAACCTCAAATTAAGTAGAAATTTGCAGGAATTATGAATATGTCATGTATGTCCTATCTGTGAAATTTAAACGTTAGCAGTGTCCTCATATTCAAATTATGCAATGAAACCTGTTTACTTGCTAGAATTCACTGTCAGACACTTTTGAGTGACTTTCTTCTTTGGTAATAACATACATGAAAAGAGTTCTCAAGGGTACATGAGCATTTGTCTACATCAATAACCCATTTCCTGTAATGGCGAAGATTAAACTGATTGAATCTTTGCGCAGCATAAAACGTATGACCATTCGGTACAATTGTCTGAAAATCGAGACTATTGGGCTCTATAGCCCTAAAATCGATTTGACAACTAATAGTCGTTAGTTTCCCATTTGAAGACATTTTCAAGCCCCACCCTTTTTAGGGAAGTTCTAAATTAGTATTATCTTTCAAATGCAGTTGGAATTTAACTTTTTCATTATTGGGGCCTGCAAAAGAGACATAGTACCTTTAATGTTCTGGTCAGTGATTCCAGGAAGTAATCATTATACACCATTTCCTGTCATACCTATGCGTCACCTTAGCAACCAATTCCCAATAAAGTCATATTTCATTTTAATCAATGCGATCATTACTCGACAAGAACTCTTTGTCAATGAAATATTATGTTTTTGTCCCATCACGGATAAAATTTTCACTTCATCTATCGCGAATGCCGGCCAACCCGGCTATGGATAATATCTCGGTCTTGGTTCCAGTTTCATTTCTAAATAAACAAAGAATAGTCTAATAATAGTGATGCAGATAATGAATGTAAATATGTATATCAATCATAAACATTGTATTTTTTTTTCATCTTGTATTTATTTATTTGTTGTAATACGTATAATTTCTAGAGAGAATGATGTTATTTTCGAAGATGTATTGGCTATGATGAAGGAATTCTTACATTAACAAACTACACGACATCAAAGAAATAATTTTATTTCCTGAATAAAAACAATATTTTGACATAATACATAGTGAATTTGAATCGCATTTTCCCTTTATTTATACTTTCATAAATGTAACAATTTCTAAGTGAATACTGAATGTAATAATACTGCTTCCTAGCATGTATATTTAGAAGTTTAATGAATATCACAGACACGTATTTAATAGAACCAACTAATCAAATCCACATTACAAACAAGATCTTAATAAAAGTGATATACAATGGATTTCTACTTGATATTTTTTTTTTAAATTTACACCAATATGTAAGCCAATAATATCTTGACGACATGACACAGATACAGCACTCTAACTCACTCTAAATAAATGAGTGGATAGTCATGGCGCAACAATCTGCAAATTGAGAGGTACACGTTTATGCAAAATGAAGTAGAAAGGGTGGGGGAAACGGAGAAGTAAAGATATATAGAACGAGAGAGAGCAGAAGCGCGTAGAAGAGCGAAAAGAGGCCCTATATAATTATATTATAAGGAGAATGAGAAAGGAGTGCCTCTTCGTGATAGGGTTAAATATGAAGTTGAGTTCTGGTCATGCGATTGCATTGTGAAAGAAACGGTGTGGAACCGACCAGAAAAGGTTGATTATCTAGCATATAAGAATTTGTGTGTATTGCAAGGTTCTGGAATCATCAAAATGATAAGAAATTTGGCCAAGTCATGGTAAAGTTACAAACACTGTACACCAAAAGATGTATATGGGACTACACGAACACGTGGCGTAAAAAGCCGGCCCCCGATTTTTACGATGTTACATGCATATTTAAAATATGAAGGTATTTGAAGAGCCATGCTAGTTTCAGGGAACATGTCTTATCTGATGTTCTTCCACACTTGCATAATAAGAATGAGTAATGCTCACAAATTATTTTTCACCTCTTCCCAGAACTCAACCTTCTCTTTAATTACGATTAATACACACACTCACCCCCACCCACGTATATAAATGACATCCGATACCAAGTCCATGTGCTGGTTTGTAACGATAACAAGAGGAACAATGTACCAGGTAAAGTTTCTTGCTTTTTAATCAAAGAGTTTATTATCCTGTTTACAAGTCGTCTAGGGCAACCTCACGTCGTTGGACAGATTTGACTGATTAAGACAAAAAATAAGAGCAAACACCCTCACAAAGCTTTTCCAAATCAATTTGCGCATATAGATAATTTATAACCAATAAGATGCTTTGTTTTCAAGCCATCCACATTCTGTAAACAAGCTAATGAAAAAGATAATGAAATATTGAATTGCAGAGCCTAAACTTCACCTGGTAAGGTAGCCTTTATAACTGATATACAAGAGTATCATAAATACATTATATTGTAATGGTTATGTGATTTTCATTGTGAGTGTCATTCCCAACAAACGTAATCCATATATATATAGATTTACTTAAATAACAATGATTTCCAGACGCATAAACAACTACGATATCGGAAACTCCTCAACTTATCCTTTACACTCAAACCACAGTACAATAGTGAAAGATAAAAAATACGTCACTGATGGGCAAATCGCCACTTTTTCTTCGATTCTACGATAATTTACCCTGCAAAAAAAAAACATCTGGGATCACCGAATTCCAAAAATTAACACTACCTAGAAAACTAAACCTAACCTATTAAAAACCTTACCTTACCTTCTTACAAACCTAGCCCTATTCATATCTTTATTATTCAACGACATAGACAATTGAGCAACAGCACGGCACCACTCTTTGTTTTCTGCATTTTCTCGCCGTGGCTCTGCACAGGTATTAAACGACCAACCAGCTTAAATGAAGAGGGCGAAGATGTGTGGACGATCAATGACCTATTTGAGGACGATGAGGAAGAGGGCGATGCAAAGGACTAGGAGAACGGAAGAACATGAAGTGACGAGCGCAGTGCTACCCGAAGGCTGTCCCGTAGTCGGCTGTCCCGTAGTCGGCTGTCCCGTAGTCGGCTGTCCCGTAGTCGGGGGCAATGTTTCATCTGCTGAGACAAAACAAACATCATAAGAAAAAAATTAAAGAGAGGACTTAATTATTCGAGCGAGGTGCGAAAGTTCGTTCTTTTTAAAAACAACAATGCAATGGCGCAATGAGCAAAATAAAATTAGGGGAGTGAGTCAGTCACCACTGAAGGGGTACTAATTCTCCCACGTACTAGTATAAGAAAACTATAAATTTCGCATTACGCCAGTGCAAAAAATGCACTATATTGATGATATAATATAAATAATTAATATCAAAAAATATTGCCTTGTATAAACAAAACTAAATAATGATATAATGATGATAAAATAGTAATAATAACAAATAAATGTATAATTACTAATAATACTTATTTAGAAGGAAAGTATATAATTTTGCACCACATAGTCAGGACTACTGCTTTACTTAGCCGATACTTGAATGACTTCAAAAGTGCGTCAGGACAGTGCTGGTTTTGGACGGGCATTCAACCAACAGTTATAATAATTCTATTTTGCAAACACATTTCCTGAATTGATCGATTGTTGCACACCTTAAGAATAGCCTAATACTGTTTTTTCATGACAATCTTGTTGGGGGGGGGGGGGGGGATTCACCTCGTTCAATCAAGCAGCTAATCATTATGATAAAATAATCAAATAATCTTAAGAAGAACCACAACAACGACAACAACAATGATACTTCTAATTATAATAATGATGACAAAAATAACAATAACAATAACAATAAAAATGATATTTATCATAATTATAATATGCATCAATCATGATAATTAATGATCATAATTATGATAATCAAAATCTTAAAAATTCAATAATAACAAAAATGAAACATAGTGATGATAATAATGATGATAATAATAATAATGATAATAGTATGGGAAAGATAACTGACCACTAGACCTGCGCACTGTCACCGAAAATTGGCAATCATCTGTATTTCCTGCCGCATCACTGGCCCGATAGGACAGCTCGGTTATGCCCAAAGAGAAATCTCCTTCATTAGTTCCTGTTCCCTGAAAGACCATTGTGGGACAGCTGGACCAGCTGTTGAGTCCGGGCTCGGTCCATGAGATCGATGACGCATTCGAAGCGTTCTCGTCGATGTTGACGACGATGTTGTCAGGGCAACCCTCGATGGCAACGGGTTCATTATATGGAGCTGTTAAATAAAATACATAGCTTTAATATCAATCGTCGAATTTAATTAAATAATACCTAAAAAAAAAACAAGTTTACGCGTGAATTATTCTATAATTCCAAATGATATTTAGTTAAATGTGTATGTGATTGGTAAGTTTACTTTTCTAGTAATCATATACCGTCAAAACCCTCAACAGTAAGTCACGCATTATTAATTGTAAACGGCATGAAGTGACAGTTTAAGAAACCAAATTGTCCTAAATAAGTGGATGGCTGATTCGTTTGGTTTATTTTGGTTTTGAAAACATATGGAACGATTTTTGAATTAATAATTGCTTAAAATACCATCATTTCTTTCAAGCACATACGAGACCATTATCATGATGGAAGGTCCACACAAGACTTATAAGCAGGTATCCTAGTTTGCAACTGATTATAGGCACATTGACATTTTCTTGTAAGAAGTGACAGAGGCTGCTAAACAAATGTCAATGTGCATTTCCAATAACAAATTGTGGCTATTAAGTTATGCATGATCTTTCAAATTAAAATCATCGTATCATACGAAATAATAGAATAGAGCTTTTGAATGACGTGTATCAAACAAAAATTATCGTCCCAATTAATTATTTCAAAAGACTTAATTAAGTAAATGAAACAGCCATTTGCCTTTTTTGGGTCAATTTGATTTCCAACATCGCCTCTTTGGGTGTCTGAAATCGGTCATGCGTGATTTATTGATCATATTTTGGTGTTGTATGAAAGAAGACAAAATTAAGGTTTTTAATTTAGGTTTACAGTAATAAAAAAGTAATTTTGAATTATTGATTAATTTACCATTTAACTTTTACTTTTCTTTTTCAAGGATATCCTGTATAATATTTATCCGATTTCACTATTTAAACAAAGAACTTTCCAGCTTTTATGTTTTTAGTAATACCAGGGGTGTTTCACAAAGAATAAAATCGATTTTAAGTTGAAATTCACTATGGCAGGCCATTCATGCCACTGTTTGATCTCATCATTGACTACAGTAGTATCAGTCTCTCAAGAGACGTACAAATCATGATCACAAATTTAACAGAATTTAATTTATTTAGTAATTCTTTAGTGAAGGACAAAATTGTAATAAAAAGATCATTATGGTGAGAGAAACCAGGTGAATAAGTTAATGTTAGTCTTTGTGAAACACCCCCAGGTAAACCGCGGTCTTCGCGCTAAGTAACCCTAAAACTAACCCTTACTGATGCAAAGTCAATGGATGCAAATTTAAAGCTAAATTACGCTACGGCTATTTTTTCATATATTTTAGAAACAACTGATTATATAACTCTGTAATATTTTGGTAAACTTTAAAAAGTACAATAGGCCTACTGCACTCTATTCCTGCTATAATTATTTATTTCTATGTTATGTATTTTGCTTTTGTTTTAGGCGTGGTCTAGTTTAGTGTAAGAATTCAATATAGTTTTATTTTTTCGAATAATTAATAATAGATATATGATATAAAATATATGATTAATTTGATATTTCACATGTATGTGCAATTGTTAATTATTGCATTATTGATTTCATGTTTTTACACTGTTATTGCACACAGAAGCAGTGCTTTCTTGGAAAGCAGGTCCACTGGCTTCCAGTGGAACTGTATGAAACTACCCTGTTGAAAAAATAATGAATAAATAAATAATAATGCCATCTGGCTGGGCAAAGAGTTGCGCATGCTCAGATGATTTCTCATTAAACAGACTCACTTGAGAATTTGTTGTATCATGTTATCTGCTTTGTGTTTCTTAAAATAATATAGACAGGCAGATACAGTGGAGAAAAAACGAAATAGCAAAGTTATATTCTAAAACACCAGAGGTTAATAGCTCTCAAAAATAGTGTCATTTGTATATTCATGTTTTTATCCAGAGATCTGGGGCCCGTTTCATAACACTGTTTATCTATAACAAATGCTAAATTTCTATGACAAATTTGCTCTCAACCAGTCACATGCCATGATTTTAGTAGCTTATAGCAGTAGCTTGTGATTTGTTATTGATATCAAGTTTTGTGAAACGGGGCCCTGACGCGGCCTGAAACACAGGCGTCTTACTGTGTGATATGATCCGAGTGGTCAGAGGGTTGATGACAAGCTCGTCGCCGTTTAACAATGTCACCGTACTGTTGTGAATCGTAAGAGTTGATGACTTCATATCATACTCGTTGATCAAGCCCGTGAGGGTAAAACTCGGCGAACGTGACTGAGCTGACCAGAACAGCTTGCTGCCGTACTTGCTGAGGGAACTACCCATTGTTTTTTCGGAGAATACTTTGATGATTCTATTGCTACTCCCGTCTAGATTCGTGACGCCTAATTTAGTCTTTTCCGTGTAGTAAAACAAGCGGGCTGGTATAAGAAATAGTGAGAACAAATATTAGATGAGTAATGCACGCTACACACAATTTGTGAATAAGGCCATCACCCTTTCTTCTATTCAACGGTTCTTTCTGGCAATTTTGACCGATATAAAAGCCTCAAAACTGACTACACCTCCCCTTCAAAATAAAATGAATATACATATATATCATAGATATATGCCATAGACTTAGTAAATGATTCTTAGTAAATAATAGCCATGCTCATATACTCTATAAAAGTGTACCCAATATATTTGGAATAAAGGGATTATTCATATTTGAGAGGTAAAATATCATCCAATATTGGGTACACTCCAATTTCAAATGTGTAATGTTTTATCTTTCATAATGGTTGCAAAATATGGAAGTGACGACAAACTTAAGGTGTCGTCACTAGATTTATATATCTGGTGCTCGATGATCAGTGTCCCAGTATAAAACCTGAGTAAGTGTACGATTGAGTTTTAAGATTGATTGCACATAGTGATCAATGCAATCAATCGCAAAAATCAATAGCACAATCCATTGCTAAGCTTTATGTTATGGAATCCACGGAAGGGATCTTTGATTGTCAAATAACTTAATGCTCGTTGCAGACATGAGGTGTAATCATATTTGCATTATTTTTTTTCTTCTCTGCATTAATCATTTCCTTTATTAAGGCAACCCGTTAGCGTGCCAAAAAGTAAAATACAACATTTAAACCGTTAACTTTACATTAATTTTTGGACACGGTGACTCTTAGGTTGGCGAGTCAAAGACACAGTCCTACCATAGCAAATAAGGCCTTTTCGATTGTGTCGACGAGAACGCCGTCTACGTCCAGAGCGCGTGTTCACCCAGTTAAGCTATGGTCACAACCCCCAAAAGTAGCCTGCTCGGCGGCCGGGCGGCGAGTTTTTAGCCAATTTCGCCCGGGCACCGATCAGCGGCCGCCCGGTAAGCGTTATATTTTTTCTTCTGCGGCACAGATTGGAGTTAGGTACGTGTTGAGCCTAAGGAAAATATAGGGTTAGGGTTAGAGTTAAATCAAGACCTCTAAAATAAAAAAAAGCCCCAATCTGTGCCGCAGAAAAATTACGCGCCCGGGAACCACTTGATTTTTGGGCATCGCTCGGTCGCTGCTGAAATTTTAGCGCGGAGTTAAAATTCGGCGGCGCCTGCTCACTTTTCACTCGCCGCCCAAAATATGCTCGGTGGCCGAATGGTCGCCTCCCGAACAAATCGAGCGTTCGCCATCGAGCGATTTAGGTCAAAAATCAAAGCCGGTAGGTCAAGGGCTGCTGACCGATCGTCGCCCAGTTACTGCCCGGTCGTCGCTAAGAAATCGGTCGGTCACTGGGCGGCGAGTTCAAAATCGGCCGGCAGCCTTTGACATCGCAGCTTCGATTTTTGACTTATATCGCTAGACGGCGAACGCTCGATTAGGTCATTGCCCGGGCGACGACGACCTGGTCACCGAGTGTATTTTGGTGCCCCGCCGATCACCGGCCGGCCGACGGGCAATTTTTTTAAGATCAGCCGGTGGCCGGTGGGAGACCGCTCGGGAATCGGTGGGTCATCAGTCGGTTACTGGAGAAGCTCCCCGATTTCGCCCAGTTTTTACCTAAAATCGACCGGCGATCGACGGGAAATCGACAGAGCACCGCTTAGGCATCGCTTTGGCTTTACAGCCTGCTCAATTTTTCCAAAAATCTCTGGGTGATGCCTAAATTTCAGCGGCGACCGAGCAGGATACAACTCGGTCGGTTCCATTTGAAAACGTTTCGATTTCAGTCAGCGCCCACTCGCCGCACTAGTGAACAAGATGATGTGACACATTCGTCACATCCATTACCCCCGCTCGTGCCACTTTAAACGTGGTCAGAACACGAACCGGTACAACTAACCTCTACTGGCACAGATAGTTAGGTACGTACTATACAGAACGGCGTTCTAGTTTGATCTGATCGTTAAAACAGAGGTGGACACGCCCGCCCCCCTCCACTCAGTGTTATTTAGGATACGCATATGCATGCGCCCTCCTTTTGAAAACACCCCTAATAGTGGGGGCTGTTAGGGATATTTTGGTGCAGATTCTTCTAAAAGCACCAAATTTGGCCTAGATGTATATTATACCATATTATATACCTCACTTAAGAAATCCAGCCACCTGATTGGTCGAAATTGCATTCATAAACTTTAACTATTCCTGTAAAATTCCCGGTAAAATTCCAAACCCATGTAATAGTTAAAAAAAATAGTTCTAAAATTCCAGTTACCATGGTTACAGGGAATAGTTCAGTCTTGGTGAAATACCCATAGTTTTACATATTAAAGAATGGTTTGAGGGATCGCGGATACCGTACGTGTGCGAAGACGGCAGTCTCTCGATTCAAGCAAGGCAAAAATGGCTGAAGACACTCTCCCAAGATTTCAACTTCTGGATGAGGATCAAATGCGAGACATGCTAACAGCAAGAACACCAAAAAGGGTACGTGAAATCTTCCATATTTTTTTTCAGTAGGCCTAGATCTAGATTCTAGTACGCGACAACCAGATGCTGGTGATTGTACGTCACGGACAGATGTAGATCCTTCCCGTAGAGATTACACACATCCCTATGCATTTCCATTGGCCATTGCGCACTCATGCTAGATTGGTCGATGTTTTAATTACCTGCAGAGATTTAAACTAATATTGCCCGTGATCCTAAAGGTGATACTCAATACGTGAGGTGTCATATGAAAGCGCAGGTTTTTCTCCATATTCCCCACAGGGCCAGCCCACCCCCAAAATTGTAAAAATATCTTGCTTAGACTAGAATCTAGATCTAGTCTACTCTCAAAGAAACACTCATAAAAACAACCGTGCAGATAAACTAGAGAAAGGCCAAGGTGGTGTCATAATTTTTTCGGATATAAAAGTATTAATGACTGTTTTAATATTCGAGAAATAGTTGTTTTTATACGCTCTCGGGAAGGTAACAATTGGGCTATTGCCTTTGGCACGCCTCGGGCAGTAGCACAATTCTAACCTTCCCTTGAGCGTATAAAAACAACTATTTCTCTCAAAGCAGTCATTAATACTATACTATTACGATTTCTGCCGGACGCCAAGAAGGGCGCCCTCTGGATATGCCATATTGGTCAAATCCAAAATAGCCGCCATCTGAGTTACAGGTCAAGCGTAGTTTCAGAAGGAAAAGGACCAGTATGATAAAAGTTGATGAATTCATGGGGTTTCCGGGGTCGGATAATCTGATTATGATGTTCTTTTATTAATAAGCGAGTTCGTAATTGCACACTGCGCATGCGCCAAAATCGGGAACGAACTTTTACAAAGGTCACATTTTTTTGTGTGTGCTGGCCTTTCCTTTGTGAATGATCACATCTGACACATCAGTCATCGAAAATCATTTCTGAAAGTCGGAAGTGGTTCTTTATAGTAAACTTTACCTGGAATCTGGTCATCGGTAAAGTATTATCGGCATTATCGTGATCCAAGTTCCCAGGGACTCGGATCCACGGACACTTTTTACTCTGAAAAACATATCCTAACTTCCAAAATTGTACCCACCAAAGCAAGCGTTTAATGGATTATTACTTTATTTAGTCAAGCAAATTTATCTAGTAGGCCTATTAAAGTCCTTCACTATTTAAAATAAAGCAAACAATAATTAAACTTTATTTAGTCAAGCATTAGATAGGCTGAATAAATGAATATTATATTTATTAATTATACATTGCTTTAACGATTATTGAAGACGAAATATAACTTTCATTAAATTTCGTTTTTAATGATATTACTGATTTATTTAGTCAAGCCAATTTATCTAGTAGGCCTAAACACTATAAAACTGTTTATATATTCTTCGTGGTGCGAGTCCCCCTTGCGTGTTAAGATCATCAAATTTCACATAGAGGGGACTTACGCAGTAGCGGATCCAGCTGGCGGCAAGAGGGGGGGGGGGGGGGTCCTAATTCGTGAGAAAATATTTAGCGGCGACTCAGCCAGCCGGTGAATAAGCAATTAAAACATATATATATATTTATTATCATTATTATTATTATTATTATTATTGCCAGTGGGGGTGGGGGGGGGGGGGGCTGTCGAACACTCTTGTACACGTCATGTGATTCCTGACTGAACTAAAGGTTTATAATTATGATTGCAGCATGAGCTAAGTCCATCATTGTGTGTGCCAATATCTTAAAAAGAGAGTGCAATCGCCGAAATTTATTGTAATGGTATGTTAATCGATAACGTACACATTTTAGGTTTCTCTTCGAATTCTGCGATTTTGTAAGAGCTATGGTACTTTTGTTTTTAGCGCTCCTAAATAAGCGATAATATAAGTAGTCGTAATAGTAGCGTTTCAAAGTTTCAAAATTCAATCAAAATTGTCTAGGTTAGTGCAAATATCAAAATACTTTTTTGTTATTCAATCATTATTTGTATTGATTCTTAATGATTAATTTAATGTAATAGATCATTGAGTTTTAAATGGGGCCAAACATGACTAATTACATAACAATGTAAGAGCGATTGTTTTTGAGGATAATACAGTTTAAGCTGTCCGGGTTTTTGAAGAGTATGCTTCAAAACAAATAACCAAGCTGTTTATTGTTGTATTCATGGTCTGTTTCTACTGTTTATCTATTTTCATTGCCAACCCTCGAAGACGAATTTATTATGCATTTCACAGAGGAAAGTTTGCATAGGAGAACTATATGTATATCTATATATAAATGTATGTATACATATTATATACAAAATATTTATTGGGCTCATTTTGCTTTCCAATAGATCCGTACAATATGGCACAGCTTTAGGGGCCTGGCAGAGCCTCTGCCAGGGGTTCCGGGGCGGAGGCCCTGGATGTTCTCGAGTTTATTTGACTCTCAAGAGAAAGTGTCTCTAAGATATAAAGAGAGGTTATTTCTTAAATGAAATGAAAGGTCTCTTGAAAGTAAAATAGCCCTTTCATTTTAATTTTTGGAAACAAACTCTAACCCATCCCTTGATATTCAAATTGCACGGCTTCTACTGTGTGCTATTTTTCACACTGTCCCTGATCTATAAAGGGTGCTTTCTTTATTTGATCATCAACAGAAGCCAAATGCTAAGCCACGAACTTTTCAAAGCGTGACCAGATTCCAAGTATGCTTAAATGGGGGCATTGATGTATGTAGACAAAACAGGATTAAGATCCCATGCAACGCTTCGAAATGTAAAGAAGAATGAGAAAAATAAAGTCGAGATTCGACCTTTATGTCTAGACGTTGCTTAATGCATTTCGTATTGGTATTATCCCCCATCTGAGAGTGATTATAGACGTTATTTATATGGATAATAAAGATATAAGCTGTCCGGGTCTTTGAATATAATGCTTCAAAACATATTGAACGAGCTGTTTATTTCTTTATCCAAGGTCTGTTTCTACTGTTTATTTATTTTCATTGCCAACCCTCGAAAAACGAATTTATAATGTATTTCACAGAGGAAAGTTTGCATATTGATGAAACATATGGGCACAGGCCAAGATTTATACCCACTCAAGTGTGAATTTGGCGCATCTTCCCTCATCTTCTTCAACCAGGAAATGGACTTCATTGTAGCTTAGGACAGGATGGTGACATAAAATTGATAAAAGAACATCATAATCAGATTATCTGACCCCGGAAACCCCGTGAATTTATCAACTTTTATCATACTAGTCTTTCTCCTTTTGGAACTACGCTTGACCTTTAACTCGGATGGCGGCCATTTTTTATTTGGCCAATATGGCCAGCATGACAGCCCCACTGGAGACCTGTAATTGATACAAGCAACATCATAACCAAATTCTCTGACCCCGAAAACCCCCTTACTATGTACACTTAGCCCTTTTCCTTTTGGAACTACACTTGACCTTTTACTCAAAGGTGGCAGCCATTTTAGATTTGACCAATATGACCAGCATGGCAGTCCCAAGTAGACCTCAAATTGGTAAAAGACAATGATATCCAGATTCTCTGACCCCGAAAGCTCCATAAATACATAAACTGTTATCATTTTAGCTCTTGTCCTTTTGAAATTACTATTGACCTGTAACTATCAGATGGCGGTCATTTTTATGGCAGCCCCAAGGAGACCTCAAATCGATGAAAGAACATCATGATCCGTTTAGAAGAATCTGCACCAAACAACCCCTATTTAGCCCTAACAGCCCTCACTGTAAGTCCGGTGTGTAAAGTCAATACGTGCCGGATTTGTGTGTACTACGAGTCGGACTTTGGTGTGAAAAGTACCCCTTTACCGGAAACGCAAGGTATCCCTCCGTTCACTGAGTGGTAGGGGGGGGGGAGGGGGGGTGGACGCGTTCTCGATTCTGGTAGTGTGGACAGGGAGATAACAAGGCGCGTGCGCAGATCGTCAAAATGACGTCATTATGTCGCAGTTCACTATGTCGACGTGACAATAAAAAAGGCCCGACTCACAACGAAACACAATTAAGTAAGTATCTTACTGGTGTCATCAGCACATTCCTCATTGAACATCCCCTCAGCATAGATGGGTCTCACAACCTCCTCGTTAGTGGCGTTTAGTGTTGCCTTGACAACTTGATTGACTAAGCGTGTTGACCAGAGAAGAAACCTTTCAAGATGAAATAATCATAATTTTGAAATTAGAGGTGTTGTGGTCTGCTGGGTATTTCAGCGGACTGTGGATCAGGTGATTCCTGGTTCGAATCCTTGTCAAGGTACTAATATTCCTTGGTAAGACCCCCTGTATTCTAGACTTCATGTAGAATTTCAGTGGCAGATTAGCTAAAGCCTGCGTACTTAATATGATACTCACGAAATCGCAGTAGAGTTATTTATAAAGTATAGGTATGCTAAATCAATGGACATACTGTTGATTGCAGCGTGCTCGTGCTTCATTCGTACCAGTTGATTTACCCAACCACTTAAGAGTGGTATTTAGAAGAAACTGAAAGAGATTATGTAAAACTACACTAATAACATGTAGCTTGGGCACCTATGAACACTTCAATTAGTATAGTAGCCAAGGCTTCATCCTTTTATGTGGACTTTCTGGAGCCAAGTGATTTTTCAAGAAAACAAAGATTCCTGCTATTTGCTGCTTCAGGATCACTAGAAAGAAGATATAGGTGAATGTGGATAACCAGAGGTCCTATTCAGTGAAGGATTGGCATAGTTTACAGATCTGGAGTGGATGGAAGCTTACATACAACGTGCAATGGTTTGTAGAAGCCTAATCTACATATTCTGGGCCACGTAACACAAGGGTATGCAATTATTTACACATTTGAAACAATGATTCTGATGGGTCTATAGTCAGCCTTGTTAACAATATGTGCATTCAACGATAATTCTATTCACCCATTGCCATCTGATATGATGATAATAACAATTTTGTGTATTCATGGAAGCCTCATCCGATTAATGTCTTGTCAAAAAACCGGGATTGGATTCGAACCCTCAACCCATGGTTTGATAGTCAAGTGAATGAACCACTATATGCTTCGCACCTCCATTTTGCAATTTATTCCAACGTTTGTGTTATTGGGCCCAGATTAACCCCAACCAATGAACATTTTTATCTCAACTTAACTAATATTTACCCACTGACGGGGTCCACCAAGATTGAAGTAGGTTGCGCAAAACTCGTATATTTGAAGAGTTCTTCTACCGAGCTACCGTCGAGATTGGCACGTGAGATAGCCTTATCATTATACATCGTCCAGTAGATCTTCCCGTTCACCAGATCGAGAGCGATAGAATGAGGGGCTGAAAATTAATTCAAACCATAGATCAGTAAAATGTAATGATAATAATAATGATGATAATAATATTATTATTTTACATCGCTACTTTATCACAAGATCGATTATGCACTTGCAAATTATCTTCATAAATAAGATTCATGGTGATGGGCAAGCTTTGAAGGTGCCAATGACGTTGTGTTTTATCGGGAGGGATTTGTTATGTTATCACCCTGTTTTTCAACACGTTATATCGTATTGCATGTGGTGTGTATGCGCCGGCTATTAATTTTCGAATTAACAATGACAGAGAATGTCCGCAAAGTATATCACGTTATTACCTTACTATGATTAATCATGGTAAATAAATAATGACAATTCATTGTAAAATTAATGGAAATATTTCACTTGCAAAGTAAGCATATTGCTATTCACTCACAGCTCGTAGAAATAATGACTTCTTGGTTCGTGCCGTCAAGTTGGATTCGACTTATTTGACTCCCACTGAAATCATTCCAGTACACCATTTCATTCTCTGGATCATAGTCAATGCCATCTATTCCCCTATTTTCTGAGAGACGTATCAGGGTGAAGCGGGTGTCCATGATGTAGGTATCATCTCGTGGTTCCGGCAGGGAAGCGTAGAGGATACCAGGGGTATTCGAATCACCAATAAATATCTGAGCAGTATCTGTGTAACAAGAAGGTTGTGAAGTATATACAAAGATAGGAAGTTTACATGGGAGTCAGGAATACATTGCTTATTAAAAAGATTATCAAAAAGCGTCAGTATTAAAGGATTTCCTTCTTTTTGGAAGTAGGTAACCCTTGCAAATAATCGAGCAAGTTAGTTCTACCACACCTGGTAAACTGTTGATTTAAAACAGCAATTTGGAGAAGTTACACGCAATATTTCGTTAATCATCTAAGAATTATGTCGGAGGGGGGTAAGAGGACATATCATTTTTTTAAAAATAATTATTATTATGAAGAAAAAAAAGAAAAAAAAAAGGGGGGGGGTTGCCGATAAACATACACATAAAAAAAAACTGAAGGGGAGGGGGTTTAACCCCCCCCCCCCTGCGTACGCGCCTTACTACTACTACTACTGCTTCTACAATCGTCATCGTATCTTTTTGAGCTTGATCTTACTATCACTCTGTGAACCCAACACAAATAACCCACAAAAACAAATAATAAATAAAAAATATATATATATTTACAATATTTTTAAAAATACATATTTATAAACTATCACAAAGTTTAATTAAAAAATTAAAATCATTAAGATCATATAGTGCTATCACCTCATTCTCAGCCTTCCCATGCATAATAACAAGATTGATTTATGTAAAACCAATATAGCAAAAAGTGCAACGAATATAGAAATTGCTTTGTAGCAAATTGTGCCTTCCCTGTCTATGCCATTTACTGATGAAACCACGTTGTTTAATCACTAGAAATTATACTTATTTTAAATCAGAATAACGCAACAAGACAGAGTTAAATATATTGTTTTTCATCAAGTGCGAAACTTGTTCTAATATCCTTTTACATGTTTTCCGGCTATTTGATGTTTTTAAAACATGATAATATCGTATCTTCGTGCAATTATAAAGAGTAACAAACTAAAGGCTCGACAGTCAAGATCCGTTTTTTTTAATTTTTTGATTTGTTTAACGAATTTAAAGCCAAGGGTTCGAAGAGTCACGTCAATTTCATAAAACTTGTTGATATGGTAAAGTATGATCCTTGTTCTAACGCATAATTGAATACACCAGTTTACGGTTGTATCAGTGCGCATGCGCAGACAGTTGACCTCGGGTCATTGGCCCTGAAACAAAGCCAATAACCTTTGACCAGTGGTATTTATGCGTAAATTAAAATTGCGCCCATGCAAATGATGATGTGCGGTCACAATGCAGCTCGTAGGCAGTGATATCATCATAATTTGCATGGGCGCAATCTCAATTTACGCATAAATACATGACCTCTAGGTCATTGGCTTTGTTTAAAATGGCGCACACAACCGTAAACTGGTGTATAGAAATTTACACGGAAACTGTAAAAGGGAATTCTACTCTGTTTAAATTGGCTACTTAGAAGCAAGACATTTTAGGAATATAGTACAGTGCGTCCCAGAAAAAACGAAACCGAGAATTATCGATGTTTTATCATATTATAGTTAACAAGTGACACATATTTGTAAAGCTTAGATCCTCCTCTTTCATTTGATGCAACTCATATGATTCATATCCCACGCATTAGTGATAAAAGCAATTTGAAGAGAGGAAACTAAAAAGTCATTTGACTGGTGGTATCTAAATGTTAAAAAGAAAATCACATTTCTAGAAAGTTCAATTTCTGCCCTTTTAAATGACACCTTAATCAGGAAAAATGAGCCAGGAATAACAAAATTCTGTTTGTTTACAGTAAGGCTTGCATTTCCATAATTTGATCAAACGAGTTCGTTTTCACTTGCTACCTGCCGTAGCAACAAACAGAGTTGACAAAAGACTTAACTCCGTTTCGTTGACGATCAGCCATGCACACAGAAGACGAAAGACCTTGTGAAACACCCCCCAGGTGTAATAACTAAAATGTTAGAAAAAATTATTTTATGATTGATTTCAGGGTCTTGCAGGACATCAGTCGCTTTAAATGTTTGCGTGTAATTAAGAGTTACTGATACTTACTCATGTGAAAACCAAAGATTGCGTAGACCAACACCGAAATATGCCATATTCCTCCACGCGCCATCTCGGAATTATGTGCCGTAGAATAATATGAACTGCGTCTTCTCTGTTTCTACCAAAATTGGCTCTGGTTGAGAGAGGCAATACAATTTGTGATTCTTGAGAACGTGCTTGGAATCTTATATAATGTTTACCAGCAGCTTTCATAATCTCATTTTACACCTGAATAACTCTCTCTGAAAGACAATTTTATATAACTTCTGTTTTCGTATTGTTGTACTTTCGTCCGCAGACATCTTAGGCACATGAAGGTCCGAATTCACAAAGCAAGGTTTGAGCTCAAACCTCCTTTTGTTTCGCCAAACCTCTATGGCCCGAATTCACAAAGGAGGTTTGTCAACAAACCTTGGTTTTCGTACGTCATATGACGCGTTTTACGCGTTTTTTACAAACCTGGTTTGTAAAGAACAAAAGGAGGTTTTGCGAAACAAAAGGAGGTTTGAGCTCAAACCTTGGTCTGAGCTCAAACCTTGCTTTGTGAATTCGGGCCCTTTTGTTTCGTTTGTAAAAAACGCGTAAAACGCGTCATATGACTAACGAAAACCAAGGTTTGTCGACAAACCTCCTTTGTGAATTCGGGCCAATATGTCAAGCCAACTCAGTCGGAAATGTAATCTGTAGGCCTAAGTGTAAATTTAAGTTTCATGTTCTTCCTTCTTTTCTTTCTTTCTTTCTTTATTTCTCTCTCTCCCTCTCTCTCTCTCTTTCTCTAGCGCTCTCTCTCTCTCTCTCTCTCTCATTTTCCTCTATCTTCTTCTCTTTTACATTATTGTCTCTTTTCTTCTCATTTTTTTTTTGTGGGACATGCGTTACGCGTAGGTGTGACATCGCACATGAGTTGGAGATTCCCCATCTAATTATATGTACTGATCTCGATTTAAGATTTAAAAAAACAAACTTTCTCATTAATTCTATTTCCGTTTTTCTAATACTTACACTAATCTCCAATTTAAAAAAACAAATCGTCTACTTCCTCTCCAGACAACGTTATATAAAGGATTCATTAATGCAAGGGTATCTCGCGAGTTATATCTTAATTTCAATAACTTCTTGCTTTCCTCATCTCTCAGTTTCTCTTGCTTTAATATTTCTCATAAATTCCTTCCAATTGAGCTGCAAATTGATTTCTCCACATCTCCATATATTCTAGTTTATGCACTATATCTATTCTTCACCTACAGGTAGATGCAAATATTACTCAAAATCCATTATATAAATCACACTCAGGATACAGCCAATGGACGAGAATTGCTTCAATTTATATTTTACATGCATCATTAATATATGGTTTTACAATGGCTATGGTGATGAGACGTCAAGGTAATATGTTGATGTGTTTGTTAAAATGTATTACCATGGTGCACCTTCTTGGTTTACTTTTTTTTTAATGTATTGTACATGTATAAACGTAAGTTCATGCCTTTACATACCACAGTAGAAATCAAATATTTTATTTTTGATGCAGAATAACATTAATATTTGAAAATTAGAAACACAAACAGATTCCATAACCATTCAAGTGTTTCAAGAAAAGGTTAAGCAAACGTTGTCCTCGATGTAAATTCACACTATCGTATAGCACTAGCGAGCTCTTCTATGGAAGGCCATCGCCGCCATAAACTTAACTTGTAACGTAATCACTAAGGAAAGAATAAAGTACACTTAGTATCCAGTGATTTTTCAGAGTAGTGTTTGCGTTACTCAACAGTTACGGTACTAACATGATATAAAGCTAACGTATACTTATTTTTACCATTATTTTACCTACGTAAGCTCTTTAGTTTTCATTAACGCAATTGTCTATCTAATTTAGTACCGTAAGTAAAACACAATACCGTTAGTTTGATGTTAACCAATCATACCCCTCGTTGCATGTCATAGAAATTACACGCAGCGCGCGCACCGATCTTTATTTCTATGCTAGAGAGCTAGCTAGAGATCCGTGATACATTCGTGATCGCAGACATGCATATGCCACATTCCTCCACGCGCCATCTCGGAATTATCTCCCGTAGAATAATATGAACTGCGTCTTCTCTGTGTCTACCAAAATTGGCTCTAGTTAGGAGAGACAATACAATTTGTGATTCTTGAGATCATAACTAGTACTAATCATAACGCTGGAATATTTTTTTTTTACCCCAATTCATGGAAGTATTTGGACAATGATTTATTCGTAATAGATCTAGATTCCTTATAGGCCGTACGGAGGATTTTCTTCAATTCATTTTTAGAAATAAACTCTAATCCATCCCTTTAAATTGCACTGCCCCTATTGTGTGCTCTTTTTAAGCCTTCAAATTAGGCAGCAAATAGCTGAACACACTGTGAATATGACAGACAAAGAAAGCGGACAAAATATGCAGTTCCTCATGTAGACAAAGGAACATATCCCTTCACTGCTATTATGTAAAAAGGTGAATATGCATGTGACACCTGTTCTACACATGTTTACATAATAGCAGTGAAGGGATGTTCCTTTGTCTACCTGAGGAACTCTATATTTTGTCCGCTTTCTTTGTCAGTCATATTCATAGTGACACGCCCTCAATACTGGACACAACATTCAATGGGATGATGCCCTCATCATTGAGTTTGAAACGCACTTCTGGTCAAGAAAGGTAAAAGAATGCATCTGCATAAAAAGGATAAATCCTTCACTGAATAGGGATTCTTGCTATACATTGTTACCTTTCTTCGCTCCTGTCAGAGTCCAGTGATCTCGAGGCAGCAGACAGCAAGAAATTGTATAAATAATTTGCCTTTGCCGGGAGTCCTGGGGCGGAGCCCCAGGAAGTTCTTGAATTATACAAAAAAATAGGAAATTCAAAATAGTCGTTACGAGCGATAGAAATTGTAATTTCCTCCTTGAAAGTCACGTAGCCCCTTTCTTTTCATTCTAGAAATAACTTCTCTTTCTCTCTTAAAGACAATTTTATATAACTTCTGTTTTCGTATTGTTGTACTTTCGTCCGCAGACTTCTTGGGCACATGTAGGCCCGAATTCACAAAGCAAGGTTAAAGCTCAGACCAAGGTTTGAGCTCAAACCTCCTTTTGTTTCGCCAAACCTCTATAGCCCGAATTCACGAAGGAGGTTTGTCAACAAACCTTGGTTTTCGTACGTCATATGACGCGTTTTACGCGTTTTTTACAAACCTGGTTTGTAAAGAACAAAAGGAGGTTTTGCGAAACAAAAGGAGGTTTGAGCTCAAACCTTGCTTTACGAATTCGGGCCCTTTTTTTCGCCAAACCTCCTTTTGTTCTTTACAAACCAGGTTTGTAAAAAACGCGTAAAACCCGTCATATGACGTACGAAAACCAAGGTTTGTCGACAAACCTCCTTTGTGAATTCGGGCCAATATGTCAAGCCAACTCAGTCGGAAATGTAATCTGTAGGCCTAAGTGTAGTTTTAAGTTTCATGTTCTTCCTTCTTTTCTTTCTTTCTTTCTTTATTTCTTTCTCTACCTCTCTCTCTCTCTCTCACGCTCTCTCTCTGTCTCTCTCTCTGTCTCTCTCATTTTTCTCTATCTTCTTCTCTTTTACATTATTGTCTCTTTTCTTCTCATTTTTTTTTGTGTGGGACATGCGTTACGCGTAGGTGTGACATCGCACATGAGTTGGAGATTCCCCATCTAATTATATGTATTGATCACGATTTAAGATTTTAAAAAACAAACTTTCTCATTAATTCTATTTCCGTTTTTCTAATACTTACACTAATCTCCAATTTAAAAAAACAAATCGTCTACTTCCTCTCCAGACAACGTTATATAAAGGATTCATTAATGCAAGGGTATCTCGCGAGTTATATCTTAATTTCAATAACTTCTTGCTTTCCTCATCTCTCAGTTTCTCTTGCTTTAATATTTCTCATAAATTCCTTCCAATTGAGCTGCAACTTGATTTCTCCACATCTCCATATATTCTAGTTAATGCACTATATCTATTCTTCACCTACAGGTAGATGCAAATATTACTCAAAATCCATTATATAAATCACACTCAGGATACAGCCAATGGACGAGAATTGCTTCAATTTATATTTTACATGTATCATTAATATATGGTTTTACAATGGCTATGGTGATGAGACGTCAAGGTAATATGTTGATGTGTTTGTTAAAATGTATTACCATGGTGCACCTTCTCGGTTAATTTTTGTTTAATGTACTGTACATGTATTAACGTAAGTTCATGCCTTTACATACCACAGTAGAAATCAAATATTTTATTTTTGATGCAGAATAACATTAATATTTGAAAATTAGAAACACAAACAGATTCCATAACCATTCAAGTGTTTCAAGAAAAGGTTAAGCAAACGTTGTCCTCGATGTAAATTCACACTAGCGTATAGCACTAGCGAGCTCTTCTATATGGAAGGCCATCGCCGCCATGAACTTAACCAGTAACGTAATCACTAAGGAAAGAATAACGTACACTTAGTATCCAGTGATTTTGCAGAGTAGTGTTTGCGTTACTCAACAGTTACGGTACTAACATGATATAAAGCTAACGTATACATATTTTACCATTATTTTACTTACGTAAGCTCTTTAGTTTTCATTAACGCAATTGTCTATCTAATTTAGTACCGTAAGTAAAACACAATACCGTTAGTTTGATGTTAACCAATCATACCCCTCGTTGCATGTCATAGAAATTACACGCAGCGCGCGCACCGATCTTTATTTCTATGCTAAAGAGCTAGCTAGAGATCGGTGATACATTCGTGATCGCAGACATGCATATATCATATCCACCACGTGCATGTTCGTCTACAAATTTGTAATCGCTCGGTAATATTTGTTTTTTAACTAAATTACTAGTAAGTTATATATCACGAGTATGCCTGGATCCAAATGGGCATTCTCGTGATATAGTTACGGGGCCTGTGTCACGAGTATACTATACGAGTCTCCCAGACGCGGATCCACGGGCCGATTCTACCGGCCCGGCCGCGAATTTGCGATTCCCAAACCATTCGGCTATGGGAGACTTTATGAGCAACGTGATTGGTCGAGGAAAGAAATATTACGTCATTTACTGCACTCG